CCCCGGCCACAGGCAGCGGTTCCTCGCTCCGCCTCGGCTTTGGGCCCGCCCAGGGCGCCCTGAGGGCAGCGGGGCGCTCGGGAGCCCCTTTTCCGTCTCCCTTTCTCCTCCCCTGGCCCCCTGATTTCTCCTCGTCCCCCTTCCCGGAGGTCCCTTCGTTAAGGATAGAGAAAAGAATCTTAAACGCCTCCCGGGGAACTGCTGGTCTCTTTCTGTGGGTACCTTTCAGATCTGCAAAAGCAGGAGGAGCAGGGAGAGCTGCTGCAGCCGCTGAGCTTCCTCTTGCTGGTGCTGTGCTCTGTCCTGCTGTACTTCAGGGTGTCTCTCATGGATCCGGGTTTTGTCAAGGCTGAAGAAGCAAAGGTACATCACCTCATGAATGGAGGAAGGTGGTGGGGCTATAAAATCCACAGGCTTTTTTACTTTTTCCCATTCTGCTAGAAAGGGACGATCTGAAGCAGTTTCTGTTGCACTTGGCATAAACAGACCACAAGGGATCAGGCCAGGCAGTCTCCAATTAACATTCTGTAATTGCAGTAGGGTTCACAGAAGTTAAACCAGTCCTTTACACCATGCTCCTGTTGTAACTACACTGTGCCCTTTAGGCAGAAGTCCTCTCTTGCATCAGAGGCTGCAGTACCCTATGGAATGTGTCCGTGACAGTTACACTAGTCACTGCTAAGTGGTAGAAGTGCAAAAATCCTGAATTGGATGGATTGGAAGCTTGGAAGAAAGTGCTCTCTGCAGCTCTATTGAACTGCATATGGATTTGTTGTCCTCTCAGAGGACACGTACACAAACAAGTTACAGTTAGGTAAATGGATATGGAGGTTTCAGTGACTGAGAGGGTCTACTCCCAGTTCACTGCCTTGCAGGTAGTGCAGGACAAAAGCATCATAAAATTTAATCATCCATCAATAATGTAAACATTAGCTGTGTTATGAATAAGAAGCACTGCTTATACTGAAAAGGCATCATTGTTACATTTGGCAGTAAAGTCTAACCTTGTTTATTTTTGTCCCAAGTGTAGCATTTGGATCAGTGTGGTATCTAATCCACAATTATTTCTGCCTTTGTGCAAACAAAAATTCTTGTGATGGTTACAGGAGCCTGTGGTCTCTGTGCCTCAACTGTCTGCAGCTTCTGTAGGAATGGGAGGGAATTATTTTAACCTTCCTAATGACAGAGATGGAACTCTGTCATTGTAAGTACATTACATCATAAGTAAAAGGATCCAGACAGCTCAGTCACACCTGAACAGCAGCTCACAGCACCTTAATCACTCCCTCTCTCTTTTCTTGTAGGCAGGCAAGAGTGAAGAGCCAAGCATAGTGATACCACAAGTCCCAAGTCACATTAAGATGCGGCGCTGTGGTTACTGCCTGGTGAAGGTAGGAATTCCTAATGCCCTGCAACAGAAAGGGATGAGTGATTTGCAAGCATACATTTTTTTTGGCAATATCTTTGTTCAGCTGTTGCTGCAGGTGGGGTTTTTTTGGCCCTGTCATTGCTGCTCAGTGTTTTGGAGGCATGGCAGAGATGTATAGT